AAAGCATGAATGTGTAACTAACCCCTTATCTGACCATTGACTGGAATATAAAGTTGCAAAGCAAGTGCCTTGTTCAAAGCATACTTGTTTATTTAGAACATATTTTATACTAGTGTAAAAAGTAATTAAGACATGTGCCAGTGCAATAACAATTATTAAAGTATCCAAAAATAAAAGATAGGTTTTGTTGCACACAACAATGCCTGCAAAACAGATGTTGAGACTTAATACAACTTACCTTCAGAATGTCTTTCAGTATCAAAGCAATACTTGCAATCTTAGTAAAAAGCAAACAATTGTAATCATAACTTCTCATAACTAAGATAATGGGTAGAAGACTAGTTCAGTCTGTTTATATGCACATCTGAGAGTTGTGTGTGTGTGTGTGTGTGTGTGTGGTGTGTGTGTGTGGTGTGTGTGTGTGTGTGTGTGTGTGGTGTGTGGTGTGTGTGTGTGTGTGTGTGTGTGTGTGTGTGTGTGTGTGTGTGTGTGTGTGTGTGTGTGTGTGTGTGTGTGTGTGTGTGTGTGTGTGTGTGTGTGTGTGTGTGTGTGTGTGTGTGTGTGGTGTGTGTGTGTGGTGTGTGTGTGTGTGTGGTGTGTGTGTGTGGTGTATGGAGGACGGAACATGACTTAAGTATAAATAAATAAATGTATGAAGAAATACAGGAATAAATAAATAAATACGTAAATAAATAAATAAATACAGGAATAAATAAATACAGGAATAAATAAATGACGAAATAAATACAGAAATAAATAAATGTTGAAATGAATACACAAAATAAATAAATAAAGAATAAATGCATAAATAAATGCATAAATAAATATGGAAATAAATACATCAATGTATAAATAAATAAATAAAAGTCGAAAATAAAACAGAACACACGTTATTATATATCTTTCATTTATTTCTACATTTACGCGACATACATTTATTTATTTATGTATTTATGTGTCCGTATGCTAATGAGGTGGGCGGTCCTAACCTCAGTCTGAAGCAGGATTGGTTACAGGAGTGTGTGATCTTTTCTGGCAGAGGGCTCTACTACTAACGCCTGGATAACCACGCTGATTCGAATGCAGGAGCTTTACTGTTTAGCCCTTATCTTTATACATCCATGGTTTATCCACAGTTGTAAGGTGTATTTATGGATATTGATTTAAGAGCCATTGGAGATCATTTACGATCATTAGCGGACCATTTAGAGAACGGAGAACCAAAAGACTATGTCCAGTTTCGTGTGGAACGATGTATAGAGGACTTGGCTCAGCTCGACATGATAGAGGCTTCTCAATACTCAAATTTCCCCTCCTCGACTCCCCTCCTCGGTTCCCCTCCTCGAGACTTAGACCCGCCCACAGGAGATGCAAGCGGAGGACCGAGGAGGGGAACCGAGGAGAGAGGAGGGGAAGCAGCAGACGTTTAAAGAAATGAGAACTCCTCTCCTCTGAGCGGTCATTTTAAAGAGCCGTCCGTTCATTATTACGTGGCAACAGCTGCATCAGCTGTCGAATGTTTTGTCATAGCGCTGTATCTCTGTTAGATCAGCTGAACATTGTTCCCCCACATATTTACTTTGAATTCATTGAGAGTGCGGTATAATGAGACAATAGCAGGCTACAGATGCGGACACACACACACAAATATATTTATATAAATATATACAATTTAAAGTATGAGAGCACTCTCATAATAACGTAACACAATCAGAGACTGGATATATCCCCCCCCCTCTCTCTGGTCGCTGAAATGGGGAATTGAAATTACGGGCCAAAAGTTGTATTTACAAGTATTAAAAGTAAGCAGAGGACACCAAACCAACTGAGACCCGTCTGTCCGCCGCATTTACGCACTGTACAACACACACCAACACACTGTACCACACACACACCTACACACTGTACCACACACACACCTACACACTGTACCACACACACACCTACACACTGTACCACACACACCTACAGCTCCTAAAGCATAAGCCGTTGTGTATTTTATTATGTGAAGTAATGGTCTGGAAACATCTGGACTCTTTGTTTGTAGATATCTACTAAACTAAAGCAAAGAGAGTCGGCCTGTTCTACTGAGTGATATATATTATACACACTGCTTGCGACGCGATGAAAGCAGTTTCTAATATAATATCCAGGGGATGCATGCAGAGCTGTCATTGGCTGAGATAAGTCCGGCCGTGCGTCACGCCTCCACCGTTCCCGGAAATGCATCCGTGGAGGAGCCGTGGAGGATACATCAGTGTATCCTCGGTTATAGCTCCTCCAGAGAGCCTCCTCGACGCTCGATGCTCGGTCCTCGGTGTGCATTTAGAGAAATGAGACGTCCTTCAAAATGGCGCTCTGAAATTCATTTCCGGGTCACTACCGGAGGACCGAGGAGTCGAGCAGTCGAGGAGGGGAAATTTGAGTATTGAGAAGCCTCTGATGTGACTTGCCACAAATCTATTGCTTCTGCCTGGCTCCAACAATTGGCGAATCCTGCTTCAGACTGAGGTTAGGACCGCCCACCTCATTAGCATACGGACACATAAATACATAAATAAATAAATGTATGTCGCGTAAATGTAGAAATAAATGAAAGATATATAATAACGTGTGTTCTGTTTTATTTTCGACTTTTATTTATTTATTTATACATTGATGTATTTATTTCCATATTTATTTATGCATTTATTTATGCATTTATTCTTTTATTTATGTATTTGTGTATTCATTTATGCATTTATTTATTTATTTGTGTATTCATTTCAACATTTATTTATTTTTGTATTTATTTCGTCATTTATTTATTCCTGTATTTATTTATTCCTGTATTTATTTATTTATTTACGTATTTATTTATTTATTCCTGTATTTCTTCATACATTTATTTATTTATACTTAAGTCATGTTCCGTCCTCCATATGTGTGTGTGTGTGTGTGTGTGTGTGTCTACTTGTTTAGAAGAACCAACCAGTCCACCACTTGAAACTTTAACAAGACATTTGGAATCAAGGCAATGTGACACCTGAGGAAACATTTGATCATACAACATTTTAAGCATTATTTTAAGATTATGTCTTAATTACTTTTTACACTAGTATAAAATATGTTCTAAATAAACAAGATGTGAAATATAGAAACGGAACAAATATCTTAAAAATAATGCTTAAAATGTTGTATGATCAAATGTTTCCTCAGGTCTCACATTGCCTTGATTCCAAATGTCTTGTTAAAGTTTCAAGTGGTGGACTGGTTGGTTCTTCTAAACAAGTAGATACACACACACACACACACACACACACACACACACACACACACACACACAACTCTCAGATGTGCATATAAACAGACTGAACTAGTCTTCTACCCGTTATCTTAGTTATGAGAAGTTATGATTACAATTGTTTGCTTTTTACTAAGATTGCAAGTATTGCTTTGATACTGAAAGACATTCTGAAGGTAAGTTGTATTAAGTCTCAACATCTGTTTTGCAGGCATTGTTGTGTGCAACAAAACCTATCTTTTATTTTTGGATACTTTAATAATTGTTATTGCACTGGCACATTACAGGCAGATATTTGTTCCGTTTCTATATTTCACATCTTGTGGATCAACCAATAATTAAAAACAAAAAGCAAAGCAAAAGGGCTGTAATTTTCCGGTCATCCTTGTGCGGAATTCTCATGTTTTGTTAAATGTTACTTTTAACATTGAAATGTAAGTTAAGGTTACATTGTGAATCAAATGTATTTTCTTACACCACATTTGTATGCAGGCCTTCAATTGAATGTTGATAAAGTTTCCTATTCTTATGGGTATAAAGTGATTGAATAAATAAGCTTTACAATAGTTGTTCCAAGACTTCTCTAAAATATCTTATAGTAATTCATATTTGACACTAATGTGAGAATTTAATTAGTCATGTGGCATTAAAAAACAATGATAAAATAATTGCAAATTCATTAAGAACACTACCATTCTGTTTATCTATGCTTTGAGTTCTTGATGCCTTTTTTACAAATGTGTATTTAATTGTCTAGAAATGGTATCCTTTATTGTCTTAATAAAGTTAATTGTTTATTTTTGCCAACACTAGGTTGTAATGTTATGGTGATACAGGTAAAAGACTGATGTATATCAATACTGAGAACATATGATGAATACTGCACTGACATACTCATTGTATCAGCATTGGATCAAATGTGCTCCTATTAGTATGAACTCACAACCAAGCTCCCAAAGTCGGTTCACCTCAAGTTATTACGGCTAAATTGTTTCATTGAGTTCCGAGAATACATAAATGTAACCACATTTTGAAATATAAGTAATTGAAATAAATAAAATATGTTACTGCATAAAGACAATCTGATCCATTTAATGAATGTGTTGTGCAAAAAGGTGTGAACGATGTATCTATTGCTTAAATCATTCAATTTGTGCTTACACTTTTGCAAGAATGTGATCAGACATTTTTAGTAAAAACAATGGAGTTATACTGAAAAATTAACATGTTCATTATTGTATGCATGTGGCAATCAATAAGTCATTCTAAAGTGATGTTTGTATTCACCAATAAATGGCACTAGCAGGTTTGTTATGTCAGCGAATGGCGTTGTTATCCTTTCTTAAAGGAGGAAGTTTGTCCAGTGTAAGCAAGGCCTTCTCAGTTGCAGCAAACTACATGGCAATATTAATGACTGGTCCCTTACTGTTTTTAGAGCGCACATGAAATAATCTGGCAACTGAGTGAAAATTAGCAATCAGTTGTTACCATTGTGTAACACATGGTACATTATTTGTGTATACAATGTAGAAAAATGTAACAAAGATTTGGCCCATACATACAGTAGGCTACCATTAAAAAAAAACTGTTGAAAAGCTGTAAAGAAAAATGAAAATAGTGTTGAGAGACAAACATTTAAGGAATACATGAAATACCATTGACTATGATTTTTATTGATACATTTTGACTAAATAATTACTTATTTTTTAAGGTCAGTTTTGTCCTGAACAGTATTTTGTGTTTTGCATAATGACATGTACGCTACATGTACCATTAATCAAATACTTGTCGTCGTATTTCATCTCGTAACAGGATGTATAGATCAGCCGCAGCAAATGGATCTGCTGGATCATCCCATCCGTTTTCCGCCATGAGTAGACAACACAGTTCAAAAACAGTTTCATCGCACGGAAACTGGCCTTTGGGAGTACACTCTAACATACACAAATTGACCTCCTCCATGGCAATAGGTTTGAGTCTATCCTCAGCACTGTGCAACTCTGGGAATGAGTACATAATCACTGGCCGACCAGATGCTGTGTCATCAGTTGATCTTGGTTTCAAAATCCTGATTTTGTGGGAATTCCAGGTGTTGACCACTTCATCAAGTTCATCCTGCATAGAAAAAAAGCACAGTAAATGTAGACGACACATGTCTTAAGAAGCTTTCGGACATAACTTCTACCTGTCTAGATGGAGGCTGAGGTTGCTGCAATGTCCACGAACATAGTGAATTATAATATTATTATTACTCATACTACTTTTATTAATGACTAATCTCAGAAATAAATAAAATATTTTACCTGAACAAGATTAAGGTAACAGAATTGGATAAGACTTTTGTCCAAAAAGTCTCCTGTGAAGTGGCCATCTTCCTGGAGAGTTTGGAACAGGTTCATCCAGAACTTCTTCCATAAAGGAAACTTCTCTCCCCAGCAAAACTGTCTGGGTGGTTCCTTCGCAAAAACATCTGCATTTCTTCAACAGAAACATTTTCCGTGCCCCTGTCTGCACGAATCCTCTCTGGACATCCACCTATACCTGAAACTGTTTTGATAAAGTAACTTGCAACTACTTTAGGATCACTGTTTGTGATATAGGCTTCCATCCATAACACATAGCGGCTAAAACCATCTATACAGCCGTTGATGGCAATGCCATAGGGCTTTAGTTTATCATAACCATCCATGTGCCAAAGTGCATTTGGCCCTCTGCATCTGTACTGACGTCTTCTCAAGCGGTGGGCTCGTCTTAATTCCACACCTTGTGGATCAACCAGTTTGATGATGCGTTTTATGCTATCTTGTGACACAACAAGGCCCTGTTGAATTGCACGGAGATGAAGCCAACGGTATCCCTGCATCTGTCCATTAGTCATGATCTCATGCTGTACAAAAGCTAGCACTTCCTCCAAGTCAGACTGGTTCTTCCTCCTGAACAGGTTAAGTCTTTTACAAATTCTCTTTAATGTTCGGACACTAATTACAATGTGATTAGTGTGTGCCAAAATAGCAAGTATTTATTTATTACTTAGGGAAAGTCTGAAGTATAGTTTAATTAAGTCATCCAAATCCGGCTCTGCAGGCATTGTTGTGAGCAGCGCAGCAAACTGATGTAATGCAGAATATAAAGAGGACAATTTGGTATTCGTAGGAGGGGTTGTAATATGGCAGTTGAATTGTACATCAGACAATAACGTTGCTTTTAATCTGCAAAAAAGAAAAGAAAATATATTGTTTAAATATTGTAAGGTTAAGACTCTTCTTCCTATTTTAAACAGTATATGCTCAGTAAAAGTGTCCATTACGGAGTACGGATCTTATTTATCAGGAACACTTTATATGCAGGAACACAAATCCTACCTTTAATTTAAAGGGATAGTGGAAATCCGCGAATTTTGGGTTTAACTTATGTATTTTTATTAAAAAGAAGCATATTAAACAATTGTTTTTAATTTCATCCGCCTAGTTTCATTTTATTTTCAATTTTACTGCGCCCTCTCAATGAAACGAAATACTTCGGGAATCGTCGGGAATCTTCGGGTGATGACGAGAGCTCAGGAAGACGGGCACAAACAATGGCGGACATTCAATAGCATTTGCATGTGAATAGCCGACCTTTATTATGGTGAATAGATGTGTTTTGTATGGCTGTAGTGCGACAGAAAAATTCTACGTGACACAACGACATTGGATTAACCTTGAGATGCGTTTTTATTCCGTTAAACACAACTTTTGATCACAAATCAAAAAAGGTAAGACGTAATTATTGTAATATTTTTGGAACCGGATGTTGTTTACTTTCTCTTTTCTGGCTGATAGCTCCAGGAATTCGAGGTCTTACAGTGATGACATTACATGTGTGGAATCTGTGGAGTCTCAGCTTTAAATCGTATATCTTGTTTGTGCAGTTAAGATAGTAATAAGGGCATTTCTACCGTGTGTTGTGTGTAAAAAAGCGTTAGCATTAGTTAGCATTGTTTCGCTCAATGCTAATTCAAAGGCTTGGTATTACTCTTGTGTTTTTTCTAGCTAACAATTGTTCTTATTGTCAGTTAGCGGAGTTTCTTACCTTTAAAAGGGTATGAAACATTAATAGTTTCATAAATGTTAAGAAGCCCTGAGACATGTGAGAGAAAAAAAACGGTGGGAGGGGTCCACTGGGGGGACCTTCGGCCTTAACTGGTTAACAATGATTCATATTTGTAAAGGCTACAGGTGATCTTAAGATGCGTGAGCTATGCTTAGGGACCTACCAGTCAAGATTATTTGTGGTAGGGGTGCATCATCTGGCGCCTGGTCCTGGTCATCCTCGCCATTGCCCATGCCGTGAACCATCACCTCGGGCTCGGGCTCGAACAAATAAGGACGTAATGGTCCATCTTCTGGCTCAATATTGTCACCATCGTCGCTTACTGAACCGGATTCAGATTCAGTTCCTAAAACGACATTTTCGTAGGAAAGCCGAGAGGATGTTTCTGACTCGCTATCATCACTGGATACCTCGTACAATCCTTCTTCTTTGTCTGGTATATTTGCCCTTCCACGTTCATTCTGCATAGACGCCATGGTTTGTTATCGTATCGTCTTCCTGAGTTTTCGTCACTTCCGGTTAGGCTGAGAAACATTTCGTTTCTAAAAAACTTCGGGGAAGCTGCAATAAAGTGCTTCTAACATGCGTAAGGCAATTATTATATTTGTTTTAATCAGGTGTGATTGTTTTGGTACGTAATTATGCTTGTATATAAGTTAAAACGAAACTATTTGAGGTTCCATTTCCACTATCCCTTTAAAGCCAGAAAGTGTTAAACACTCTTACTGTTAACCTCACTAACTTGTTTCATAAAATGCGTATATATAGGCATATATATATATATATATTGTAAAAAAATACGCATTTTATGAAACAAGTCTAGAATGGAGTAAGACAGTTGTGGTTGTGGGCCACAACCACAACTGTCTTACTCCATTCTAGACGAGATGATGTTTGAGATGTTGATCATTTTGATGGTTAATAGCCTTCTGATTGTCAGCTAGCTGCCTTGTTAAACACACTTAATGAAATCTCTACAGAAACATGAAAACCAACAGGCTGTTGCTCTTGGTTAGTCGCCACTGTTCCAACAAGCACAAACTTGCGTGTCAACGAACTAAACCATTATTTACTGAATTAGATGGGGGGGAGCCATAGCATATAAGCTAATGCACTTGCTGCTAGCTCATCAATGTCTGCATTTCATATTCTAACGCCTTTTCGTTGTTTTTACGAACGCCCAAAACACACTTATATATTTATAACTCACCTTTTGTTCTTCCATTTGCAATATGGTTTCCTCTTGGACCCCTCTGGCGCGCAGAAATTCACTCACGTCCTCCATTGTTGCCTACTGCAATGTGTAAATCTCTCACTGAAGCTGGTTCTACAGTTACCGGTATTTCTGACTTTTTTCTCCCAAATAAAAATATTTTTTTTTGTTCTGAGAAAAAAGTCAGAATTCTGAGATTAAAGTCAGAATTCTGACTTTTTTCTCAGAACAAAAAATAATAATATTTTTTTCAAATCCTCACAAAACATTTTTTTATGTGGACCTAATCCTCTTCCGTAAGAATGTGTATTTTATGTTAGTATTTAAAAAAGATCTCCTGGGGGAGAATCCCCCCAGACCCCCCTGCAGGGGTTGGGTTTTCAGCATGTCAACTCTTTCACTTGTGGGGAAATTACAGGATTGGCTCCAGGTCGCCCTTTTTATTTACTACAAGACAAATGTGCCTTTTGGATTGAGACAGGGAAATCATCTAAACCTCACGCGTGGCGTTTCACTGTCAAGGGGGGCGATATAGCGTGTATGTAATTACATTGCAAATACTGACTTCAGCCCCACCACTGTATGGGTTAGGCCTACCATAGATTACCCAACACAAATACTCTGGAGCCGCCACTGTTTGCGGTCTACAATGACAGAGAAGAGCCTGTCAAGTTTGGCTGTACTCAGCATTGAATCAAAACGCACCATAGCTTTAAATCGTTTGTGAGGCGTTTTGCTGATCAAGATGGTAATCGCCACATTCAGCTGTAATAGACATGCCAACTTGATGCTCTGCTCACGGATGAGTCGATGAGCATAATAAACTGTTAAGATGATGACCTTACGTGTGTATAATATTTTTCTACTTTGAGGGGGTCTGCCCCCAAAAAACAGTTTTAAGTCCTGAAAAGTCAAATAAGACGGTGTGTAAAACTTCACTGCCCAGCCAACAGAAAGTAACCACTTTGATTTAACTAGGCCAGTAGGTAAGGACTTTCCACTGGATAATAACTGCAGCGATGTATATGTTTGAGCTGAATACACGTTTTTTTAACCCTGACTGATGCAGTTAGTCACTTCTTTAATGTTTGTTCTTTCTGATGTAAAGTCCAGGTTGTAACTGTTTGCAATGAAGTTGTGGGACGCTGAACTGTTCTTTTGATTATTTTGATTTATGATAGTAATTACTTGTCTTTCAAATTTGAAGGAGGGTGAGCAAGCATCTTGAGGGATTGACAGCTGATAGGAATGATATGATTGTTAATATTATCATATTCATTCAGACACACATCGATGAGACAGTTAATTAATGTACTTATTGCAGCAGTCTGCATAGATTGGTACCCCTGCTGGTCTAAGAGTGAAACCAACTAATTCAGTTAAAATTCATTAAATTACGTCTGCCACCTTATATATGTATATGTAAGGCTTTACTGATGTGCCACAATAATGTCACCTAATGTTATTGAGTTAAAATATCAATATTGTGGCTTTCCAAGTTAACATTGATTGATATGACTGCGATTACATCAGCATATACTTCTGCCAGGGGATGCCACCCCTCAAATTCTCCTGCCACCCTCTTGCCACCCCATGAATATTTTTATAGATCCGCCCCTGGTCTGTAAGAAGAAGATGAAACCACGAGGATGTCAGCTACAATCCTGTGGAAGCCATCAGGGAAGCAGCATGACGAGACCCAAGGCAGCACCGCAGAGACAGGTTCAGCCACGACCCGAAGTCCATGACTTAATCCAGAACTCAGGATAGAGGATCCAAGACACAGGACTACAGCAAGAGGATCAGCCTCGACTCCGGATCCCGGCGTAGATATAGATACAAAACAAGAAAAAAGATTTGGCTGGGTTAATCGGAACAAAAGAATACACAGACACAGACAGAGAGGGAAAAAGTCATTGGATAAAAGTTATTCTTGATAACCCTCTAAAAAGATCTCATGAACTTCCCCACTCAATGTATCAAGACCCGAGCAGTTCTATTAGATATAGGATAAGAAACAGAGATAGGGAGCACAACAACCTATCTCTTCGTTAGATGCACTCTCCCGCTTATCTAAGCGACTATGTACCCCGTTACCCTCTACAAGGCCATAGACCAGCAGAGGGAAAATGGGGGGTGGGTAAGGGTTTTTAAGAATAAACCGCAAGGGTCTAAAGGGAAAAAAGATGAAATATAAGGTACTATATTTTAAGTAATCCTATCTACTATTCCTATATTCGAATAATGTATAAACTATTTAAAAAATACTTTATGAAATCCTATGTTATGTTATAACTATTAAAATAAAGAACTAAATGTATAAAGAACTAAATAAATAAATAATTAAACAAAAGCCAGAGAGAAAGTGAGTTTTAAGTGTTGATTTAAAAAAATCAACACAAAATAGATATTGTATAGTGTTCATAACAGTATTTTTTATTTAATAAATAGCTAGTTAATATAACAAAAAATACACAGTAACAATACAATAATTATACAAAAAACCACCAACCTACAAATTAACCTACATCAAAATTAATATATTATCTAAAACAGGTGCATTTGATTTAAAATAAAAATAATAAATATAATTCAATATTTATATATTTTTCTTGTTCATGTCCATCATTTTTCCCCGTTATGTAGCATCCAGCCTTTCCCAATCTGGCCTGCATTTCTGTTTGTTGAAGCCACTTCTTGAAGCAAACTGTAACGAAATGTACAGATATAAGTACACTTTTAATTTTTGTTTTTTTAAATGTACGTTAAAATACATAAGGTTGCCAGAACATGACCGGTAAAATACATTACAAGTTACAGTCGGTTGGCATACACTCAAAAAAGTGAACTCTGTGAGTTGTTGAATCTAATGAATGCATCTTTACCCAATGTAATTGATATATCTGAGTTAGCTGTTTAAACCTAGTTAATTTAAGTCGTTTTAAAAAATGAATTGAGACCTGTTGAAGCCATATGCTGCTCGATTATCTCCAACGCAACACAGCTGTGTAAATCGCACAGGGACAACTGTGGCGCATGTGCAGAGGCTCGAATATGGGATATGATTGTGACGCCAGGCTTTTTTGCGGTGAGGAAGGACAGGAGAAGTTGCAGAAGCAATGGCAGAGACCTCAGCGACATCCAAATGAATATGAGTGAGTATATTTTTTCCTATGTAACATTTGAAGTTTATAAACATGCGGTTAGAATGTGAAATTGAGAGCGTCATAACTCGCAGAAATATCTGCAATATTTTAGCATATGGCAGCTAATGTTGGCTAGCTGGAAAGCTAGCTAACTAACTTAATGCTAGCCAGCAGGAATACATCACAGTAGCAACCAAACAGTTTGAAATACACTGAACAAAAATACAAACGCAACACTTTTGTTTTTGCTCCCATTTTTCACGAGATGAACTCAAAGATCTAAAACATTTTCTATATACACAAAATAACCATTTCTCTCAAATATTGTTCACATATCTGAAAACATCTGTGATAGTGAGCACTTCTCCTTTGCCGAGATAATCCATCCCACCTCACAGGTGTGGCATATCAAGATGCTGATTGGTTATGCAAAGCGATTGTTGCAGCAGCTGTCCGAGTGGCTGGTCTCAGACGATCTTGGAGGTGAACATGCTGGATGTGGAGGTCCTGGGCTGGTGTGGTTACACGTGGTCTGCGGTTGTGAGGCCGGTTGGATGTACTGCCAAATTCTCTGAAACGCCTTTGGAGACGGCTTATGGTAGAGAAATGAACATTCAATTCACGGGCAACAGCTCTGGTGGACATTCCTGCTGTCAGCATGCCAATTGCACGCTCCCTCAAAACTTGCGACATCTGTGGCATTGTGCTGTGTGATAAAACTGCACGTTTCAGAGTGGCCTTTTATTGTGGCCAGCCTAAGGCACACCTGTGCAATAATCATGCTGTCTAATCAGCATCTTGATATGCCACACCTGTGAGGTGGGATGGATTATCTCGGCAAAGGAGAAGTGCTCACTATCACAGATTTGTTCAGATTTGTGAACAATATTTGAGAGAAATGGTTATTTTGTGTATATAGAAAATGTTTTAGATCTCTGAGTTCATCTCATGAAAAATGGGAGCAAAAACAAAAGTGTTGCATTTATATTTTTGTTCAGTGTAGAATTAGAACGTACTGAATGAAATAAGTACGTTTTGACCCAAGCGGTTCAGACTTGTGTGTTGTGACATTTTCATTTGTGCAGATATTATGATGTAGAAAATAATGCTTTTGCCAGTTAGGCTATGTGCTAAAGTAGCCTTTAGCTCGTTAGCCCGTTTTCTCTAAGTGCTGATTCAGAGGCTTGTTGTTAGACTTGTGTTTCGTTTAGGTAAATGGTTAATATCATCTGTTAGCTGAGTTTCTTCCCGTTAAGTGGGTATGCCACATTAACAGGTTGTCAACCACTGTTAACCTGTTAAGCCCTGATCCTGTTTTTCAGGTCTCAGGCTCGAAAATGACATTCCCAGAACAAATGACCATATCTTCTCTTCTAAAAGGGTTAAATTAATAATCTTTTTTCTCAAAGTAATGATAAAGCTGTGAGTTGGATGTAGAAAAGTCAGAATCAATATAGATGTTTTTTATTTTAAAGAAAATTTAGATTGAACATAGTAAAAAAACTGTAAATTATAGTGTCCGTCCAAACATTTTTTTTTTAAGGTAGACTAAAAGCTTTAGGAATCAAAAGTTCAAGATTGATGCTAAACAAGTGACATTTGACCTTTTTAGAGAGGTTTAGCAAAAACAACTCCACCTCTAAGGTGATTTGGGTGGAAATGGGCGTTTTTACCGTTTCTCTGGAACCCATTGGTTGATTTCGGTGATTGACATCTCTTTTTGACTGTTAGAGCCAATAGAATCGAAGGGGAATTTCCACATGCACACACACACTACCATTGAGAAATGAGAGCTATGTGCACACAATTTTGCATGAGAGCGAACCTATCTCTCGCTCTGACATCTGGAAACGGAAAAGCAGGTTTATTGCTTATGGATTATCATAAATCATTTCAAACGGACACAGACACATTGGATTAACCCAGTGGTTCTCAAAGTGGGGGGCG